CCTGCCCAACAGCTCCATATTGAAATCAACTATAACTTCATCAATTTTCAAATACATGAATTTTGGTTTTATTTATAAAAATACCAAAAAAAATTTTGATCCATCTCACCAGATATTAGTCTTTGAATGTTATATAAAGCACATATTTTGCAAAACACACATTTATCAATAGAAGAAAGAGAAAAAAAAAACAAAGAAAAATCTTCGGGTCACCCCCAGAAAATCGGGGCCCTGGTTTGCCGCCCCTTTCTAAAGCATGTCGCCATCAGTTGTGACCAGCTCCTTCCCCTATTGATCACCACAGACTGATGCTGCCACCACCATGTGTCCCAGTGGGGATGGTGTAATATTAGATCACTTCTAAAGACAGTCATTTGCATTAGATTTTCTTTTGGAAAGTCACAAACGCACCTCAAACTTTGTAGATTCTAATTTAGTTGAACGTTTGTTTTATTTTTAGAAAAACAATGTATATATCCTTCGCCTTCGAGACAATACTCCCAATAAAAATGCGGCGTCTCACTCACACAGAAGCTCGATGAGAAGGCTGCGGTTGTGGATCTGGATCCCCTCCCGATAAACTTGGATGTCCAGTTGGACGAACATCTGGACCCGGTCCAAACGGCACAAGAAGAGCCGCTTCCCACCTGCTGACCGCAGGACCTGCAGCGCGCACGTGCTGCCGTTCTCTTTTCTAATCGGAACAGAAAGAGCGAATCAGAGGCCAGAAATCAGACTCTGGATGCTAGTGGGGTGTCATTAGCTGCATTTTATATTTATAAATATTTTTTATTATTATTATTTTATATCGGAAGCGGACTTACTGGTAGGCATATCTGAAGGAGTACTGATCCACAGAGCCGGCCCGCTCCTCGTCTTCCTCCCAGAAACACACAAAGTCCTTCTTGGTCTCCGCAAAGCATTTCGGGTCCTTTGGTTCTTCCTTTAGAAGAATGGAAGCTGCACAGACAGGAAAAACAAAACAAGTGTTGTGAATAATTTCTGTTTATATTTAGCGGCTCAGCCAAAAAAAAAAAAAAGGCAACAATATAAAAACTAAACTCACCTTTTCGTTTAAAATCCTGAACGTCTCCAGCTGCTGCGGCGGCGCAGAGCGTCAGGTAAAGTGCCAGCAGCCGGACGAGTCGCTCACATGTCATCCTTTAGTCTGAAAGACTCGGATTCTCTGCCGTCCAACCTGCATCCCTGGACAAGCAACTGTCAGAAACAGGCGGCAGCCAGCAGAGAGGCTTGTTTTTTTTTTTTCTGTTTTTTTTTTCTTACTTTTTCTTCAGATACGACTGCGATGGCGCAACGTGGCTGCGCGCCTGCTGGACAGCGATAAGACGCGGTGCAGAGCTGTTTACGTTCTACAGACTGGGGGACAGGAGGTGGAGCGAAAAACAAACGTAAGAGAGCAGTTTTATTCAGTTTTTTTCTCTTTTTTTCTTTCTTTTTTTTTTTCGTAGTCGGGAGGCGGGATGCCATTGATGTTTATGAGTCTGTGGCTGAGATCCAAACTGCGTGTAAAAATGCACCGGACGGACGGATGGATGGGTATAAAGCTGCTACTAATCCTTGGGATTTATTTTAGAATTTTATTTGATTTTATTTTACATGCAATGAGATAATGAAATCAAACAAAATTTGGTTTTGTAAGACATTTAGAGAGGGCCTTTACAAAAATAAAGGCATGTGATTTTTGTTTATTTTTTTTAATCTTGGCTCAATTGTTTCCTATTTTGTTGTTTTAGAATATATTTTTAGTCTGTCCACATGATCAACCACAAAGAGTGAAACAAAGAGTGATTCTGCAGTTAGCCATTTTTTTTTCTTCCTTTGGTAAAAATCGATAGATGTCTGCAATGAGATTAAAATAAAAGTAAAAGGAAAAACAAGGTTAGTAAAAGACAAACTGTCATTTTCCACAAAAGGTTGCCTCTTATTTCAAGAAAATGTATATTTGTGAGTTAGAACGAGCCAAATTCAGGCCGAAATCCGACGATGATAAAAATAAAATAAAATAAACACCACGCGGTTTGCAGCTGTTATTGCACCAAAATCCGTAATGACTGAATCGATACAGGCACCGATTTATTATTATTATTATTTTTTAGATGTTATTTGAAAATAATTTTTCTTTCACTTTACAATTACTAGCTTCTTTGTGTCAAATCTGTCACATAAAAATCAAATAAAAATCATAGAAGTTTGGTGGTTATACTGTAGCAGAACAGTAGATAGATAGATAGATAGATAGATAGATAGATAGATAGATAGATAGATAGATAGATAGATAGATAGATAGATAGATAGATAGATGCTCTCTGACTGACCCTCAGCAGCTTCATGGAGGGGAAACCGAACCGCAGTGTGCTCTCAGTCAGAGGAACTCTGAAACGGTTCCTTATCTCCTCTCTGCACCAGCATGTTTTCATCGTCTGTGCAGCATTATCAGAGCTGCAGAGAAACATGTTTCTGCACTCGTGATAAGTGGTTTCGATGTGTGTGTGCGTGTGCGTGCGTGCGTGCGTGTGTGCGTGTGTGTGTGAGGGACAGAGTTTGGCGGGATAGGTGGAGGCGTAGCAGCCCATCCCCATCCAATGCCATTCAGGGCATCTTTACATCACCTGATGTAAACAAAAAGCTGAAGTTGTAGCTATGACAACATCCAGCAGAACTTTGGACTTAATGCTCAAATCCACATTTTACATGAAAGTTAGGTTGAAGTTTAAGAGAAGTTCTTTGGTGGAATTGGTTCAAAATGACTCGAGTCCCCGGCCGTGCAGGAGAGGTAGTCTAGTTGTTTCTGTGCTGACAGGAAGAGGAAACCTGAATTATTGTGGTTTTCTCTGCTATTTCAGATAAAAATATGAAAACCGGGACGTCATGCTAAGGACAGAGAGCTAAAAATCTGTGGTCATAAATCACATTCGATTTGCTGCTGCCCTGGGTTTAGCCAGGCTGCAGCACATGCTTCAGGACCGGTTTATAGAAAACAGGCTGGAAACTCCCAGAGATGGTAATGATCTAGAATCTACATGGAAATCTAGATTCTAGATTTCCATGTATGTTGTGAGAAAGTATTTCCTCGCTTTAGAGACATTTACTGTTTATGTTTTCTTTTTAGTTAAATATTTCAGATCAAACAAATTAGTAAGTTCAAAAAACAGGTTTCAAAATATGAATGAGAAATGAAGTCGAAACCACATGTGACTAAGCTTTTTCACACGATAAGTCATTAAAAATAATTCATGGCGACAACAGACGAAAACTACAATATTCATAATACGTATAACCACTGGCGCTGGCACATATCCGCCATCAGAGGAGACATCGAAGGGACAAGGTCTGTACTTTGGAGCGGAATGCGACGTTTTGGGGAAATTGTAGTTGGCGATTTAAGTTTGACAAACTTAATTCAATTACAAATCAAATCTTTTTTTCAGTTGCAGTGTCATTCTCAGTGTATGGATTAAACTTGTTCGAATGACACACAACTTTTCATGAACCGTGCAGCTCATTGTCCGAAAGAATCATACCATCACCCTCCTTCTACTTCCTGTCGTCTTCTTTGTCGTTTTACCAGCAGTAAAATCGGGCTGTTGATCAAGTGAAAGCGAAAAATTGTTTCTATTGTAGTTTTGCAAAATACATCTATTTCATTTTGGCCCAAAATAAAAAAAAACACTTCGTCTTATGATAAAATGTTTTGTTTTGTTTTTTTTTCCCCCCCAAGTTTTCATTAAGCACATTTAGTTTCTTAATTTCAATGTCTGTGGTTAATGGAAACACAGCTAGTGTTTCAAATGTTATTTTTACATATATATATATTCCATCAAAGCTCAGTGACCAGATAACATTTTGGCATTAGCTGTGCATTATATGATATGAGCATTATATCATTATACTGATGGAACACATGTTTGGCTCCAGGCTCATGTTAGCAGCATGTGGACTGACCGCTGCTTGAAGGGAAGAGCCGCTCAAACGACGGCTTATCATCACACATCTGGTTCATAGTGACAGTTAGTGGCCAGCACTGTGATAACAGTTCAGTCACATGGTACATTGCAACTACTGACCTGAAATTATCCAATCAAAGGGAAACTTTAATTTCCTTCCATTTTTTATATATAATGTATATATATTTATATATATATAGATTCAGAAAGAGGAAAGTCATTAATGCGGTGAAGGAAAAAGTTGTTTTATTGTGGTAAACATATGAAAAGATTAACTTAATTTTCTTCAAACATAAATGAAGTTCTAAAAGTAAAGAGGAAGAAAAGACAAGAGGCCTTGACTGATGAGTGTGTGTGTGAGTTTATCTGAGCTCACACACACCGACTGTTGCACTTTTAGAGGACAGTAATTATGCCAATAACAAGATAATTTAACACATTAGTACTCAGTTAATGCAAATACAGATTTGTTTTCCTCAAGTATTTTAAGAGCAGCAGCAACATGATGTGTCTGAGACACACGGCCTTGAAGAAAGCATGGCAGCTGGACGACTGAGGACACGAAGCAGGTCATGTGACTGCCAGGTTCATACATGGGGAGGTGACTAGTGGATGTCTGTACAGTAAATCTAATGTTTTTACAATCAGCCAGAGTTGGGTGTTCAAAGTGGGGCCAGGAGACCATTTGCGGCTCCTAGGCTGACTTTGTGCGGCCCCGCAGACCACAAAAATAAAATAAATCGGGAGAAAACTGAGACTTCCTAATTAAAATCTACTTGAATTTAAAAAAATGCTACACAGAGTGGTCATCTTTTCCACGAAGCACATCAAGTCGTTGACTTATGATAAAGTCCACCATGGTGCACCCAAACCTGCTTTTATTTGTTGTATTAAAACTTTCCTAAATACAGCTATGAAAATACAGCAAATGAATGTTGGGCTAGATCCTGTTTCTATTGCTTAATTTTTTAGATTAATTTTTTTTTTAATTTTCTTCCCTTTCTTCATTGAAAACATTTTCTAAAAGAGTAGGTTGGATTTTTGCTGTGATAAAAGATTTTATTTAATTTTTCATACTCAGCTTTACCATAGGTGCCAACAGATTTATCTACATCTGTACAGTTATTGTATTTGCTCCACACTTTGTGCAAAAAAAACAAACAAAAAAAACAAACAAACAAACAAAAAAAACAGATACAGGTTCATGAAATCAATGCAAATCTTATATTGGCAGATGTTAAAATCCATAAGGTAAAGTGACTTTGGTACATGATGAGGTTTCATTTTTTTTTCCTATAATGTAAAATATATATTAAATAAAATGTATAGCAAATATCTTATTGTGGTACAAGTGTTGTTGCATGTGTCAATCATTACATTGGTGTGTGGTGGTTTCCTGATGGTTAGAAAACCAAATCCACAAAGCAGGCACTGGAAATATTAAATGCTTATTGGCCCAGGACGTTTAAACTTGGAGAGGCTTTAGAACACAGTTATAAGTTATAAGAAAAAGAACAGAGATAGAAAGAAACGCTTCATTTGACGGGAAACAACAGCCCTGTTGGAGAGGCCAAACCAAGATCGTCTCAGGTAGCCACTTAGCCACTTAGCTAACTGCCTCTGTAGCCTTTTCCACAGTCCAGGCACAGAGTGGAAGTTGTTCTTCATATTAGTGTACGTGTGTGTGTGCGTGCGTGTGTGTGTGTGTGTGTGTGTGTGTGTGTGTGTGTGTGCATGTGTGCGTGTGTGTTTGGAGACATTCTAAAAAGGCCCGTTGCTTAGCAGGCGCAGGCACCGTTGCTGTCTGAAGAGTCTTTAAAGCCCTGGGGTTTCATGTGATTGGCTGTGAGGTTGCTCTCTTCCTCCATGGTCTCGTTCATCTTCTCACAGATGACGTCGACTAGACACTCAAACACCTGCTTGACGTTGATGTTGTCCTTGGCACTGGCCTCAAAGAAACGGAAGCCTGGGAGCAAGCAGCAGAAATGCCTTAAAAACAAACTACCCATACTAAGTTTTTTCACATTCCATGTGCTCCGTGTTTATATGTTGTCAATATGTTGCTGTTCATATCTGGAGGTTTTTTTCCCCTCATGTGATGAAAGAAAACCACCTCCCAGGGCTACAAAGTAGTGGCATATCTCTTGCAAATAAAAAATGAAGACGTGTGACATGCATGACAATATCTTTGTAGAACCACCTCTTCCTACACTAGCCGAGTTTCCATTGCAAATGTGCGCAAAACTGTCAATATTCTGATGACATTGGGAAGAAACACAACAGATGCAATTAAAATCACACAGGAATTAGTTTGTTCACGCAATAAGTCGTTATAAACAAACCACATCCTGTCTTCTTCTTTGTCTTTTCCTTCTTGTTGTTGATCACGTGACCCATATGAAGTGAAAGAAGTGTTTCCATTGCAGTTTTTGTGAAAAATGTAAATTTTTTTCAAAGTTACCATGTTTCCATTAAGCAAATGTATTTTTGTAAATCCAATTTGTGCAATGATATGGTCAACAGAAGCACAGCTAATGACAACTACCAGTCTTTTGGGGTGAGTATGGACCTGTGTTTTCTCAAGGTGCTGTAAAACAATGCTCTACTAATAAATAATAATGTGCTACTGCAGTTATTACCGAGCTCCTCAGCCAGCCGCTGGCCGTCCTCTGTGGCTATGACCCTTTCATCCTCAAGGTCACACTTGTTACCGACCAGGATGACCTGAGTGTTGTCCCATGAGTAGGTCTTGATCTGTGTCGCCCTGAAAGACAAGATCCCACTAGTAAACAGCCACCGGAGTTATTCAGATGCAAATAAGAAAAGAGGAAGAACATTTAGCAGAAGAACATTTCAGCAAATGTGGGAAATATTAAAGAAACTCGAGGAACAGATAAATCCAAAATAAAGGACTGAGAGCTTACATTTACAACAGGTACTAGTCGTTCACAGGATGAACGCTTTTGAGAAAGTAAAACAAAAAGACTTGTTTTCTCACCAGTCCTGCACCGCACCGAAGGAATCCTGGTTAGAGACGTCATACATGAGCAGGAAGCCCATGGCTCCTCTGTAGTACGCTGTGGTGATGGTACGGTAGCGCTCCTGTCCTGCTGTGTCCTGTGGGGACATGAACACAGAAACACCATCAGAAACAATCAATCTTCAAAGTCAGGCTGTGTTTATTCTGGTCTGAGATGAGTACAGTACCCAAAAAATGTACTCCAGTAAGAGTAGTACTACTTCAACATGTTTTTACTCAAGTAAAAGTAAAAAGGAGCCAAACAAGAAATGACTCAAGTAAGAGTAATAAAGTATTTTGCAAAAAGGAATTTTTGACTAAAACAATCTTGTTCTTCACTCAGTGAAGTTACTCAGAGTGGGTAGTAATTGTAGCGATTCTTCATAATAAAGTTACTCAATTAAAAGTAAAAACTACAGCGTAGTCAAAATGCTCCTAAAAGTAATTTTTTCCCCCCAAAGATTATTTATGTAAATGTAACTAGTTACTGGTCAACAAATCAGAAGAACCAATGCTTTCATGTGTGATGAAGTATGTATAATGTTAGACCACAAGGGGGCGGTGTGGTCAACGTTATAGTTGCCTTCATCTGCTACAGGCCGCTGGTGCATTTCAACGTTAGCCTTATAACGATTTAAAACTTGAAATGACTATATCCGAGAAACGTCTTTGCAAAACACAATTTTTTTTGCAAGTATTGTGGAAGCATACAACTATATTTTTACTATTTTGTTCTTGGAAATGGAAAAAAACCCCTGTCTAATCTTTTACACAACCCTTCATCTTCATGCACCCTTCTTCACAGAAGCCTTTAATTATTCTATAAAAACTGAACAGCTAAAGCTTCTCAGTCAACAGAGTGCTAACAGTGACAACACCTTCATGTCGAGTCAAGTTTATCTGTAGAGTATGCTTCAACACGAAGGCAGCTTAAAGTGCTTAACATGATAAAAACAAAACATAGTTAAAACAAAAAACAAACAACCCATTTTTACTTTGTGTCATGTTTCAACCACAAACTTTCAATGTGTCACAAATAACACTTGAGTTTTGACTAGAGCAGATTTACAGACAAGTGTTTTATTTTTTTCTAATCTCAGATGTAAAATGTATTTTTGAACAGTTTTGGCTTAATTACTTCTCTGATTATGTTGTTCTTTCAACAAATTGACTTTTTTATCTTGTATACTCCAATTAATGATTAATCAATTACTAATTTGATTGACAATTATTTCAACAATCAATTAATCACAATTAGTTGCAATTAATCATGATTATTCCGATTAATCGGGATTAATCCAATTAGTCACGATTATTCTAATTAATCACGATTAATCTGATCATCACGATTAATGATGATTAATCTGATTAATCGTTTCAGCCCAGTAACATTCCAGACTCCTCGGTTTGCATCAGGGCTCTGGTGTTTGTCTGCTCACTTTGAAACGGAGCAGGTTGTGGAGGTAACCAGAAGCTAATAAGGGTTATGAATGTTCCATTACAGGGTGGCGGCCTCACATCTCATCTCTCTACATAATGCATAGGACAGAGCAGCACATTGTATGGAAACTGTTGAATTCTCCCTTTATCCCCCCAGAATCTGGTTTTAGTGAAACAAGAGTCACTTTAGCTCTCTCGCTATCTCAGCCATGCAGAAAGAATCAAATATTAGCCAGCAAGATGTGATGGCTAACCAAACAGAGCGTATTGAGGGTTGCTACAAAACAAACCACAACAGCAGACGGGACCTGAGTGTGTGAAGCAGTTTAAATCAGGCTCCTGCACAGCCAGGCAGTCGGACGTCACTGGGACCCTGATCCTCAAACATGCGTCACCTGTGTTTATTTTGGCTGCCGACAAAGAAGCAGCAAAGCACATCCACTGGGGTAACACACACTCACCATATGTCTGGGTGTGCTTATGCAAAGTGTATATGAAAGGTGTGTTTGTGTGTTTACTGTCAGATCAGTGACACGTTTGACGAAATGATGGGATGTAAATGAGTACACTTCGCCTGTTCTGAGGGATATAGTGAAATCTTTGTAAAATGAGGGCTGAAATAATTAACGGTGAGGACATTTTTACAGAGCTGATGATTAACTGCGCATGAGGACCCAAACTTAAGACATCCCTGCTGCTTCCACACCCCTTATACACACTGCTATACTGGCACTGCAATGTATCTCCATTGTGTCCCAGTCAGATGCTGATAGGCTACTTCCTCTGCTTCCTGGGTTTAGGAAATACCAGGTTTCTTTGTCATTTAGCAGCACAGTTAGTGACTCCACAAAGACCAGGCAGCTACACACAGTTTTCTGGTCACTTTGGTAAAAAAAAGCTCATGGCATTCCAAAGGTGTTCACACATCTAGAACTTTTTTTAGCATCTTGTCATGTTAAACACACAAAAGACAATGATTGTTGTTGGAACAGCTTTCCAGACCGCTCAGGTCTTCTGGTTGTAGTCCACAAGTTCAAGTTCAAGGACTTTAACTACTTCAGCAGACGCTCTTTTCTAGATAGTACACCAATATTGCACACAGAGTATGAGAGCCAAATGTTTGGCCAGATAGGCGACTGGATGTGTGTTTTGGTGTGTGCTGCTGATTAATGTTGCACACTGTTTGTGTACCGTACAGTGGCTCACAGATTGTTAGTTCAAATGAATCATCTGTTTGACTTGCCAATAGGATTGGCTGGTTCCTGTAAGGAGCAGACATTACCTGAGACTAGTACTGGAGAGGAAAGATGGAAAATTAGTTCAGACAAAAAAAGGAAATCTGAACACAATAGGTTCAGAGAAAAAATATTTTGTTATACATAGTATTTTTTGTTAAAAGGATACTGAAATAATCCCAGAGAAAGGGGACTGTGTCGGCTGCTGCAGTTATCTGTCTGTCCTGTGAGTATTCTGCTCTGGTATCCATGAAAAGTAGGAACAAACCCCATA